CCTGAGCCCTGACTCACTGCACAGGAGGAGGAGTTCAAACCTGCACTATGACTACTGGCAACTCCAGAGAGAAACACACCGTAGAAAAGAACAGCGGAAGCAGAAGACTGACTCATAGCTGATGAGTTATTCTGGTTCAGACATCCCCCAGGAAAGGGAGATTGGACGGTAGCCATATGTCAGAGAGACCAACTGAGCCTGGAACACAGAGCAGCTGGGGACTGGCTCCATCTAGCAGCTCCCAGTGTCAGGGGGAGGCAGCACTGAGTTCAAGTTGGCAGAAGTTCAAGGAGCTAAGTTCAAGCCAGCAAGAGGTGGCACATGGAGTGCTGCAGGCTGAAAAAATTGGGTTCTAGTCTCCCAGTCAGAAACCAGCCTGAACTTCAGTGGCACTATAGGTACAAGTTTGCTAGGATTATCTACTACCCTGAAAGAAACCTACAGATGGCTTCCTGGGACAAGTCAATATGAATCTGGGTTTTATCTGCTCACTACCAGTAACAGCAGAAATGTATCATGAAATGGACTTTTTTTCTTCTTTTTACTTTGCTTTTGCTTTATTTTTCTGGATTGTTTGTTCTTATTTTTGTAAGAGTGTAAATATTCTTTCTAGTTTTTTGTTGTTGTTGTTGTTGTTCTGTTCTGTTATTTCCTCCTTTGCCCTTGCCCTCCAATTTTCTTCACCAGATTGCCAAAGATCACAGAATTTTCATCTGTGCTCCAGCCTTGCTTCTAATGTCTTCCTCTTCTATTTGTTTTTTCCCCAAAACCCTTTTAAATTTTCTCCTGAGGTAAAATCACCATATTGGCTGCATCTATATTGTATAGTTTCCTAATTTGCTTTAGATTGTTACATAATCACAAATACAGATCATATGGTTAAAGGTGGCAAATTAATAGTTACTACAGTTTGGGCCGGGGATTTAGCTCAGTGGTGCCGCCACTTGCCTCACAAGCACAAAGTCCCGAATTCAATCCCCAGTACAAAAAATAAATAAATAAAATAATAAAATAAAAATTTTTTAAAGTTACCACAGTTTGTAATTTTCTAGGTTGTGTTTGATCCTACTTTATTGGTGATTGTACTACTTTAGCCAACACGACATAATTGTTCTAATCAGTTGTTCTTCCTGGTACACCAAGACTGAGATTGCCTAAGGGTCATAAGCAATAATATAGGCCAGTGACAAAAGAACTAGGGGCTAGGCCAAATAGGCAGCAACTTCTTTTCCTCAATAAATTGAAGAAGTAGGATTTTTGTTTTGTTTTGTTTTGTTTGTTGTTGTTTTTGTACCAGGGATCTAACTTGAGTCCTTGAGAAAGAGGTAGGATCTTGCAACAGACTCAAAACCCAAAAGCCAGATAGACCTGGAAGCCTTCTCTGAGAGGTAGTCATTTACTGAGGGTTCTGAATACTGTCAATAAAGCTACCTGCCATAAACAATTTACAAGCATTAAGGGCCATGGATTTAGCTCAGTGGTTCTGCCACCTGCCTCACAGGTGCAAGGTCCCAAATTCAATCCCTGGTACCAAAAACAAAAACAAAAACAAAATACAAGCATTAACCAGGGATTAAACTAAAAAAAAAAAAAAAAATCAAAAGAAAATGAAGCCGGGCGTGGTGGCACAATGCCTGTAATCCCAGCACTCAGGAGGCTAAGACAGGAGAATCGCTGTGAGTTCAAGACCAGCCTGGGCTACATAGTGAGTTCCAGGTCAGTCTCCTACATAGTGAGACCCTGTCTCCAAAAAAAAGAAAGAAAATGAGAACACACTTAAGCAAGATGGAACTCCAGACTTCCAACTCACCAAAAGAAAACCAGGGGGTAAAGAGGTGGAATAATTTGAAAGCCACCCACCTGGACTCTCTGAAGTGGTAACAGCAAATGTAACAAAGAAGATGAGTGAGGCTCAAGAAAAAAATCAAATCAGAAATAATTTCTTGATAACTACAGAGAGGGTGACCATAATGAAAGATATGGTTAGTGAATCTACAGCACACAGATTTTTAAAAATAGAGTAACTGGGCCAGGGATTTAGCTCAATGGTTCTGCCGCCTGAGTTCAATCCGTGGTACCAAAAAAAAAAAAAAAAAGAGTAACTTAGGAAGATGATGGAAACCATAAATATCCAACATAGGAAAGAAATGGATTCAACAGATATCCAGGAGATTAAAAATTCCACTGAAAATGTACACAGCAGAATGAGACAATATGAGAATTGAATATCAGAGCAAAAAGGCATGATTGTGGTTAGCAATCATGAAAAGATAGCTTTTTTTGTTGTTGTTTTCTTTGGGAGTTTTGTTTGTTTGTTTTGTACCAGGGATCAAACTCAGGACCTTGTTCTTGCAAGGCAGGCACAGTGCCACTGAGCTATATCCCCACCCATTCTGTTGGTTTTTGACACAGAGTCTAATTACGTAGTTCAGGCTGGCCTTGAATTCATTATGTAGCCCAGGCTACTCACGATTCTCCTGGCTCACCTAATGAATACTGGGATTACAGGTGTGCACTACCACCTCCAGCAGAAAGGCATCTTAAAAATAGCAGGAGACCACAAAAAAGTAAATCCAACAGCTGCTAGATAATGCAAAGAATAACAAGATGGGGCCAGGGATTTAGCTCAGTGGTTCCACTGCCTGCCTTGAAAGCCCCAAGGACCCAAATTCAATCCCTGGTAAAAAAAAAAAAAAAAAAAAAAAAAAATTGATCACTCAATGAAAAAGCAAGAGAGAGCACAAATGACATAAAAAGACTTGTTCACAGAAGTAATGGCAGAAAACTTTGCAAGGAAGGAAAAAAATTTGACATATAGATAAGTGAAGCATATAAAACTCCAATTAGCCACTATTAAAAAAAAAACTTCACCAACACATAAAATGATCAAGATCCAGAAGTTTAACAAAAGAACAGAATTTTAAAAACTGTTAGAGGAAGAAACAAATCACATATAAAAGAAAGCCCATCAGAAACACAGCGGACTTCTCAACACAAACCCTCAAGTCTAGGAGAGCTCAGAGTACAGTATCTCAATCCCCAAAAGAAAATGACCTCTAACCTAGATTAATGTACTCCACAAAGATGACTTTCAACATTGATGGAGAAATAAGATACTTCCATGACAAAGAACACCTGAAGAGATTCATGACCAACAAACCAGCACTCCAAAATGTTCTGAATAAACCCCAAGAGATTAATCCACCCGAGGAAGGCAAGCAATTAAACAGAGGGAGGGAGGGCCAGGACTTTAGCTCAGTGGTGCTGCACCTGCCTCACAAATGGAAGGCCCAGAGTACAAAAAAAAAAGAGGAGTGGGGGGAAAAAGGGAACAAACAACAGGAAAACAAAATAACAGAGATAACTCAATACATATATCAGTTATAACCAGTAATGTAAATGGTCTCAATTCATCAATCTAAAGAAGCAGACTGACAGAATGGATCAATAAACAAGATTCAACAATATACTGCATGTAAGAAATACATTGAATTCAAAAAGAAATTCATACTGGGCTGGGGATTTAGCTCAATGGCACCACATCTGCCTCACAAGCCCAAGGTCCTGAGTTCAAACCCCAGTACTGTAAAAAAACAAAACAAAAAGAAATTCATAGACTGCTGGGTGTGGTGGAACACACCTGTAATTTCAGGACTCAAAAGGCTGAGACAGGAGGATTGCTGTGAGTTTGAGGTCAGCCTAGGCTACATACATAGTGAGTTCAGGCCAGCCTGGACTACATATGAAACCTTCTTTGAAAAAACAAAAACAACAACAACAAAAATTCATAGTCTGGGGCTGGGGATTTAGCTCAGTGGTTCTGCTGCCTGCCTTGTAAGTGCAAGGACCCGAGTTCAATCCCCAGCACCAAAAAAAAAAAAACAACAAACCAACAAACAAACAAAAAAACCCAAAAATTTCATAGTCTGGAAAAAAAAAAAACCTCATAGCCTGAAAATCAAAGGATGAAAAACAATACTCCATCCTACAGGAACTCAGAAAAAATCAAGGGTAGCTTTTTTTTTGTTTTTTGAGACAGGGTCTCACTATGTAATTGAGATTGACCTGAAACTCACTATGTAGCCCAGGCTGGTCTTTAACTCACAACAATCCTCCTGCCTCAGCCTCCCAAGTGCTGGGATTACAGGAGTGCACCACCACGTCCAGCTAGTATTCTATTCCCAAAGTAGATTTCAAGCCAAGACTGATCAAGAGAGACAAAGAAGGTCACTACATACTTATAAAGGAACAATCCAAGAGGAAGAGATAACAATTATAAATATATATGCACCAAATAGCAGTGCACCCAACTCTACAAAACAAATATTAACAGACACGAAAAATCAAATAAGCACTAACACAGTTATAATTGGGGATCTCAGTACACAACGGTCACAAATGGACAGATCAACTAGTCAAAAAAAAAAATCAACAATGAGGGCCAGGGACTTAGCTCAGTGGTTCCACCACCTGCCTTGCAAGCACAAGGACCAGAGTTTGATCCCTGGTACCAAAAAAAAATTAAAAAAACAATGCAATATTAGAACTGAACCAAATGTCTGAACAAACAGACTTAGATGTTTACAGTGTTCCACCCCACAACATCAGAACACACATTCTTCTCAGCTACACATGGAACTTTTTCCAAAACAGACCACATACTGGCTCATGTAACATGCTTAAGTAAATGCAAAGAACTTGAAATTATCCTATACATATTATTAGACCATAACACAATGAAATTGGAACTCAAAGGCAAAAGAAACCACAAAAACTTCACAAATACATGGAAATTAAATAACACCCTCCTAAACAATCAATGGTTCACTGATGACATTAAAGAAAAAATTAGACAGTTTCTACAATTAAACAATAATGCCAGTGCCAGGGATTTAGCTTAATGGTTCTGCCTGGACAGCGAAAGGTCCTGATTTCGATCCCTGGTACCAAAAAATAATGATGATGATGATGATGATGATGATGACGATGGTACAACATACCTGAACATTTTTGCGGGTGGTGGGGGGTACCGGGTATCAAACTCGGGCCCTTGTGCTTGCAAGGCAGGTGAGCCAAATCCCCAGCCTCCTTACTGGAACTTATGGGATACAATGAAAGCAGTCCTGTGAAGAAAATTTACAGTGGTGAATTCTTATCTCAGAAAAACAGAGTGAGCTCAAATGAATGACTTAATGTTGAACTTCAAGCTTCTACAAACAGAAAAGCAAGTCAAACCCACAGCTCATATAAGGGAAGAAACTATCAAGAGTAGAAATTAGTGCTGGGCCAGGGATTTAGCTCAGTGGTGTCACTGCCCGCCTTGCAAGTACAAGGTCCTGAGTTCAATCCCTGGTACCAAAAAAAAACCCCACAAAATTAGTGCATTGGAGACTAAGAAAACAATACAAAGAATCAATGAATCAAAGAGTTGATTCTTTCAGATTAAACAAAATTGACAAACCCTTAGCCAACCTTATATAAAAAAGTAAAGACTCAAATCTATGCAATTAGGAATGAAAAAGCTGAAATCACAACATATCCTGCAGAAATCCAGATCATCAATATCTGCCTTTGAGAATCTGTATTCTAATAAAATGGAAAATACAGAAGAAATGGACAGATTCCTAGATGTATATGAACTGCCAAAGCTGAAACAAGAAGATATAAAAATTGTAAAATTCAACACCCATTAATCATAAAAACCCTACAGAAAACTGGAATAGATGGTCTTTATCTCAACTTGATGAAGGCTATCTATGAAAAATCAACAGCCAACATCATACTAAATGGTCAAAAACTGAAAACCTTCATACTAAAATCAGGAACAAGACAAGGATGTCCACTATCACCACTCCTGTTCAATATAGTTCTGGAAACATTAGCCACAGCAATTAGACAAGAGAAAGAAATAAAAGCAAGCAAGATAGGAAAGGAAGAATTAAACTGTCTTTATTTGCTTGACAATATGATACTCTACATAGAAGGCCCAAAAAATTCTGCCAAAAGACTTCCAGACTTAAGTGACAGATTCAGTAGAGTAGCTGGATACAAGGTAAACACTCAAAAAAATCAATAGCTGGTGATGGTAGGACAGGGGTATGGGGAAAAAATGAGAACCAAGATCTGTCATATAAAGGTACAAGACACCAATGATGAATGTAACTGTACTGTATTCTTAAAAAGTACCAATAAACTCAATAAGATAAAAAATCAATAGCCTTCTTGAATACACAAATAACAGACTCACTGAGAGTGAAATTAGGGAAACAATCCTTTTCACAAGAGCATCCAAAAAAATAAAATATCTAGGAATCAATCTAACAAAGGAAGCAAAAGACCTCTACATTGAGAACAACAAAACTCTGAAAAAAGAGACTGAAGAGGATATAAGAAAATGGAAAGACATCCCTTGTTCCTGAGTAGAAACAACCAATACAGTGAAAACAGCCATACTTCCAAAACTGCTATATAGATTCAATGCGACCCCAACTGAAATCCCAACAGTGTATTTCACTGAACTAGAGAAAACAATCCAAAAATTCATTTGGAACCAGAAGAGACCTAAATTAGCAAAAGCGATTCTAGGAAACAGAGACATAACAGGGGGTATCACAATCTCCAACTTGAAACTATACTACAAAGCCACTGTGATAAAAAACAGCATGGTACTGGCAAAGAAAGAGACCTGAGGATTGGATGGATGAACAGATTAGAAGATGCAGAAACAACTCCAGACACACACTCAGCCACCTTATCTTTGACAGAGGGGCAAAACACCTTTACTGAAAGATAGGCTCTTTAATAAATGGTGGTAGAAAAACTGGCTTTCCATTTGCCAAAGATTTAACTGAGGCCTATATCTTTTTTTTTTTTTTTTTTTGGTGGTACCAGGGATTGAAATCAGGCCCTTGTGCTCACAAGGCAGTCAGCAGAACCACTGAGCCAAACACCAGCCCTATATCTTTCACCATGTAATAAACTAAAATCAAAATAGATCAAAGATATAAATATTAAAACAGAAACGCTAAATCTGCTTGGAAGATACAACAGGTAGGACTCCAAAGACATTGGTGTAGGAAAAAACTTTATGAACAAAACCCTAATCACACAGGAACTATCACAAAGAATCAACAACTGGGATCTCATCTTATTAAAAAGCTTTGGCACAGCAAAAGCAGAAAACAACTGGAGCCAGGGATTTAGCTCAATGGCACCATGCCTAGCTTACAAGCACAAGATCCTGAGTTCGATCTCTGGTACTGAGGGAAAAAAAGAAACCACCAACGGAATGAACACACAACCTAGTGTAGAAAAAAAAAATTTTGCCAGCTATTCCTCAAAGGACTACTATCTAGAACATATAAAGAACTTAAAAACATCAGACACCGCCCCCAAATTTAAAGACCTAATCCAAAAGTGGGTATCTGGAATGAACAGACACTTCTCAGATGAAAAAGCAGAAACAGCAAGTAAAAATATGAAAAAAATGTTCAACATCACTGGTCGTTTCAGAGTTGCAAATTAAAACAATGCTGAGATTGTATCTCACTACAGAATCACTACTATGAAGAAAACAATCAATAACAAATGGTGGAGGGGCTGTGAGGAAAAGGAACTCTTTTCCACTGTTGGTGGGAGGGTAGAGTGGTGGAAATCAGGGTGGAGATTTCACAAAAAACTAAAACAAAAGGTTCCATTTGATCCAGCTGTTCCCCTTCTTGGTATCTTCCTGAAAGAATTAAAGCATCAGACCACAGTGATATGTGCACACCCATAATTATAGCAGCATACTTTGTAATAGCTAAATCTTGAAAACAGTCCAAGTGCCCATCAATCAATGAATGAATACAGATGTGGGTTATTTTAACAAAATGGAGTACTACTCTGCCATAAAGAAAGATAAACTTTGGTATGAGAAACCAAACATGTAAATAGGGAATAAAATGCATAATAGATATCAGGAAATGGAAAGAAAATGTTCAGATAAGGAGAGGAACAAGGAAGAGTGGAGGGAGAAAGGAAAGAAGGGACAAAGAAAAAAATAAAAGGAAAAAAATGAAAACAAAGCTTTTGTAAAAAAAGGAGGGGAAGAGGGATTGATGGCAGGGGAGGGGAATGAGAAAAAGGAAGCAAAATACATCATATTGAGGTACAAAATCCCTATGATGAATGTTATCACTATGTATATCTCAAAATATTAGTTAACAATAAATAAAACAGAAGAAAAAAATGCAGATGGTAAAGACCAGGCGCAGGAGGTTTCAGTTGGGAACAAGTGTACTGGCAGCGGGATTCCAAACCATGTGAAAATGTGTCTACATTTTGCTCATGTCCCTAAGACTTCACAGGAGACTCAGATAAACGGCAATGGACTAGTTATTCTGGCAGAAGATATTTCACTGGCAGCCCAATATTGGGGGGTGGCACAGATATTGTTGGGGCTTTTTTTTTTTAAAGACAGGGTCTCCCTATGAAGTTCAAGCCAGCCTTGAACTCACTATCTAGCCCAGGCTGGCCTTGAACTTGTGTGTACCATCACACGTGGGGGTGGCTTTTCATGAGGTTTATACAGAAAATCAGAAAAAGCCTGTTTTAGAAATTTTGAGTTTGCCGGAAGGAAAGCACCTGCAAAGACGAAGCAGAGGCAGTAAGGCTGCTGCTAAAAAGGTTAGGATTAAAAAGAAGCCCAAGTACTTTGGATCACATTGATAGAAAAGATGCCTTGAGGGTACGTGAGGAACCGGCAAGGTCCTAAACTCTACGCAGGTTCAAATTTAGAAGAGTGAAAGACTTGAGAAGAGAAGGATGAGGATGTAGCTCAGCAGTTAAAAAAAAAAAAGATTTGAGAAGAGAGCTCCAAGACACGGTGCTCCAGAATGGTGGCTGCCTAGGGAGTTTGTTCCCTAGGACTCTGTCCTTAGCACTCAGTCATCCAGCTACTTGGAAATCTCTGCACCATAATACGAGAGAGCCCAGTTACTGCTTGAGTTGACAGCAGACCAGACAGAATGCAAGAGTTGTAGGATCAAGAAGGCTTCCACCCAGATTATAGAATGCCTGGGAGACAACAGTGTGCCCCAGAGGGCAGTGTGTGAAGCTGTGAGTGTGAAGCCAAAGATACACAGAGGTTGTAGGAAGTTGGAGAAGCCAGAAACATGGACCATCTAAAGGAAGACACAGGAGTGAGCAAAGCCAGCCCAAGAGAGAAGCCATGAAGGCTATAACCACTGGTAATGCCTTAAGGTCTGGGCCACCCAAGCCCCTTGGAGTTCACACCTTACCCCCACAACTTACCTATGGCGCTGGACATGGACCCACAGGATTTAATGTTTGTCCTGCTTGGGTTGCAGTCCTGCTTTAGTCCCATTCTTTTCTATTCCCTATTTGTCCTTTTTGAAATGGTAATGCTTATACCCTGTGCCACTGTATGTCTATAGTGTTTAACTTCTTTTTGATATTTACAAGGGCTCCCAGCTAAGATTTTGTCAATAATCTCAGAAGAGACTTTGGACTTGGACTTTTTAGCAATGCTGAAGCTGTTAGGACTTTGGCAACACTTAGAGATGGACGGATGTGCCTGATCTTTTGGGGCCCAGGGACAGAATGCTACTCATGGCTTATAAATAGATGTCCCCAAAGAGCCTCGTGCAATCATAGGTGGGGCTTTTGGAAGGTGACTGGATTACTGGGGCTTATATTTGACTTGCTATTAGCAGGTGGGGTCTGGTCCAAAGAGGTGGGTCAGTGGGCCAGGGATCTGGTTCAGAGGTTCCACCACCGCCTCACAAGCACAAGGGCCCAAGTTCGATTCCCGGTACCAAAAAAAGGAGCCGGGTCACTGGGGTGACCCGGAAGGGTTTATCTCCATTCCCAGATCCTCCCTTCCCTCTGCCTCCCCACCATCAGGACTCCTGCGGCCTCTCCTCTGCTGGGCCCTCTGCCACGAGGTACAGTACTCCCTTAGCATGAGCCAAAATAAACCTTTCCTCCTTTACTTTACAGGTGTCAGGCATTGTGTTTCAGGGTCCAGAAAAGTAAGACACTGGCTGCTTACAGCCTGGGATATGATGAATAAGGCT